TATGTGTCTGTAGTAGTGGCAATATTATTATTATTATCATCTTTATTGTTATCGTCATATTGTTATTATTATCATAAATAAATGATTGTATGATGTCATTTCTCCTTTATCAACTTTCCAGGTGCCCAAACACTACACAGATCTTTACCCAAATGTGACCAGTGAAGGAAGGCGTATCTTCAGTGGTGAGTTCACCGCCAATACAAGGCCAGTTTAACAATTTGCAGTCACTTGGCGCAATAATGCGCTGGTGAAAATTATCCGTTCCGATCACCTGGCGCGAGGCCCCAGAAGTCTGTTGCAGTCGCTCTCCTGGCTGGATGACCAGATGGGGTATTTTGTACTGCTGGCTGTGTGACTGCAAAGTGTTAATTGAAAGACTGCATAGAAATGTGCGCTCTGTATCAGTTCACCATTAAAGTTAGAAAAATGCAAGTGGAAAAATTTCTCTGAAAAGTATGAACAAAACAAAATTTTATCACCTTAGATGTCAAGGGATAACAGTCCATTTTTTAGAAAGAAAATATTTCCACAAGCATTCTTATCATAAGATTATAGAGGGGATAATACTTTTCTAGAAATGCTCAGACTGTGTGTTATAGAATGGAACCCGGCAATTTCTATTAAATATTTTCTTGTTTAGACACTACAAAAAAAAACAAAAAAAAAGAAATTCCCCTAGATGAAAGAACTGTATTTCAAAATTTCTCCACAAAAGACAGTTTGTGTTCTTATTTCCTTCTTCCATCCTCTATCTCTGTATCACTCTATCAATGTGTCTGTCACTGTGTCACTCTATCACTGTGTCTCTCTATCACTGTATCACTCTATCAATATGTCTCTCTATCAATGTGTCTCTCTTATCACAGTGTGTGTGTCACTGTGTCCAGGTATGGTGACTTAAACATAGCTCACTAGCTCACTCTATCACTGTGTCTCTCTGTCACTGTGTCACCCTATCACTGTGTCACTGTGTCCAGGTATGGTAACTTATACTTAGCTCTCTAGCTCACTCTATCACTGTGTCACTTTATCACTGTGTCTCTCTATCACTGTGTCTCTCTATCACCGTGTCACTGTGTCCAGGTATGGTGACATATACCTAGCTCACTCTATCACTATGTCACTCTATCACCGTGTCACTCTATCACTGTATCACTCTGTCACCATGTCACTGTGTCCAGGTATGGGGACATATATTCAAAATATACCTAATGTATATATTTAATATACCCTATCTACCCTATCAATGTGTCACTGTGTCAAGGTATGGTGACAGCAATGGACGACACAATCGGAGCCCTAGTCCAGGCATTGAAGGACAAGGAAATGTACGAGGACACAGTTTTCTTCTTCACCTCTGACGTAAGTATTTTTGTGGTTGTCCTGTTTATTTTTAAGAGATATCTTTTTTAAAAGGTAAGTGTTTTTACACCCC